CATGCGGTCTGCTTAGACCAGAAGTCAATCAGGAGAGGGTCAAATGGATTTGGAGATAAGCAATTTTATTTGAGAATCTGTAGAAATGAAAAGCAAACAATCTCTATGGCGTCTTTAACTTGTTACCTTAAATGCCAATGTGGGTGACATCCAAACATCTGAAGCCATGATCTGTTTTGCAAGTTAACACCAACAGTCCATCTGGGCAATAAATCCGCTATCTTGGGGACTTATTACGAGAACAGGAACCCAGTGCTCCAGACCACGGCCTCTTCCTGCTGCCAGCATAGAGCTCTGTTTGCAGGGCCCTCACTGAAGAGCCAGCCTCTATTCTCATCCTAATCAGCAGTTGACTGATTTTTGACCTGAAAAATGGCAATTCCCTCTGATTCAACCTACTATTTGATACTGTGAGCCTTGAAAGGGTTGTTTTAGGAATTAAAACGTGTTTCTCAATTTGATGCTCCGTAGTACATGGAATGTCACTGTCAAAAATCTGGGAGGTTGCATTTTTTCCCTTAAGATTATATAACTGGTTAGATAAATAAAATGTACCTGCTGCTTCTCTGTGTTAGCTGGAATGCTCACAACAGCCACCAAACTGCAAGAGAAACAAGCAAGCGGTGATGTCTCCCTCTACTGGTAGAAAGTAAAAGAGTCCTCAAATGAAATTCCAGGAAGGCAGGTGCGAAGTAAAAAATGGTTCAATAGAACACAGAGAGGTAGAAAGGGAGAGAAGAAACAAAGAGAAGATAGAAAAAAAGAAGGAGAATTGTGAGGGAAGTCAAAGAGAGGAAAGGATAGAGGAGAAAGAAGGAAAGAGAATGGGGGAAGCCAGAGAGAAAGAAAATGACATAGAAAAAATCAACAGGAAAAGGTCAAAGAAGAATTAAAAGCACAGGGTGAAAGAGAAAGAGGCACTTGAGTGTTTTTCATGGGTTACCCTGAAAATACTGGCCATTTCCTCCAAGAGCTTCTCCAGGACAATCACAACCAGGAAGGCTAATCAACCCATAGTCCTTGGAATTTTGACAGTGGAAAGGCTTGGACTTTAAAAATATATGTCCTGTTTCCCTCACTCATTTGATTGTGAGCTTTGTTCTAAGAGGGGGATGTTAAAAACAAGCAATGTTTAAATCATGAGAACTTTAAGTTCCAGTGGTTTGGAATCTGATTAAAAACCTGTAAGTTTCCCACTCTTACCCAATAAGCCAACAGAGATTGACACGGGCAATGCCTTGCAGTCATAGCCTGGTCCCTGTGTGTCCCCAAATGGGATTGGTCTTCTAAAATGAAGTTAGTTTGAATGTGACAAATGATTCCAAGTCAAGGTGTACAGCAGGATCCCAGACACTTAGGATCATAGTCCCAGAACCTCTGTGCTCACTGGAAGCAGGTAAACTGAGGAGAGGGCAGAGCAGGTTAATTAGTCATTTGAAAGCAGTCCCTACAGAGAAACACCTGTAATTGTACTCGGAGGCATGGTCGTCACTTACAAGGCTCAGACAAATCTATATAGAAGAGGTGCTTAAACTCCATCAAGTCATAATTCCAGTAGTCATTTGGAAAAGTCATTTGACTTATGTGGAGGTTTTTAAAAATTCAATGACTGAAACTAAACTTTTTTTCTATTTTCTTTTTTCATATTTTCATTGATGTCTTTAAGCATTACCTGGGATAAACTAGACAGCATTTTCAATGGGATCCTGGCCAGTGAGGCCAACACTGGGTTTGTACAGTTTCTAGCAAGCTGTGAGTCTGGCCATGGGAGAGCACCAATGGGTGTGCACAGGAGTGGATAAAGGTGCAGAGGGGCAGCCTCACACCCTGTACCAGGTGTAGATAGGAAAGAAGTGGTCCTGGAAGAGTAAAAGGCAATTCATGAGGAAGCTCAAAGTAGAAGAATGGCCCGGCATTGAGAGGCAGCAGCTACCTGGGCAATTTAGCCAGACCCTGACCTTGTTTCAAAACAACAACAACAAAGTAGAAGAATGAACAACAGAGAGAGAGACAGAGTTGAGGGGGGGAGGAGAAACTCCCCTTATGCCCTACCACTGGCCTTGAAAACCCCCAGCTCCAAGCTCTAACATCTTTTTTCTGAATACATAAGGGCCAGTTATGTATTGGCCTAATCCCTAAAATGGAATTTGCCAATTAGTTTCAATACAAAGGGCTTTCTTCAGGTCACAGAGACAAATCTAATTTGCAATTTCCTCCTTTCTTAGAGCTGGGTATTGTGCAAACAGAGTAGAGGATGAGTGAGGGCTCCAAAGGGGCAGGTTGACAGCAAGACTCCCTCATCCAGGAAAGGCCATGAGGTTGCAGCTGGAGCCCTCTGACCCACCTGTGCCCTGGGCTCATTCGCGTTGTGACAGCTTTGCTGTCCCTGCCAGCGAGAAATAAGCCCTCACAAAGCTGCCTATCTGGCTCTGGCCTAGTGTCCTCAAGATGAATGTTTAATTGGTGAGGCTGCTCTTCCTTGGCCAGTTCGGCCACTGCTGCCCTCTCAGGACTGGCTATGCCCCAAGTGGAGCTGATGGTGGTGTGAGCAGGAGCAAGCTGGCACCAGCCCCGGTGTATGCAGCCTGACCTGCCAGCTCCAGGCAAAAGCAGAGAGAGCCAGTGCCACCCAATCCCTTTGGGATGCACTGCGCTGGCAAAAGTGATTTGGGAAACTATGGGAAGGATGAATTTGTTAAAGTATTGCCCATCACAAGTACTTCTTAGCAGCTTTTTAATTCCCTTAGAGTGCCCCCCACCCCATTCCCACCACCTAAGCCCTGACTGTTTTCTTGGAGCTCTGACTGGCGGGGATGAGGCATGACAGAAAGCAAGGAATGTCCCTGAGACTGACTTCCTGGTCCTAAGGCTCCCCTTTGAGCTTGACTCTTGCTAGGACCAAGGGCTTTGAACTTCTAAAACCTGCCAGTACCTCAGAACCTATAGCTCCTCCACCTTTGCATCTAGGCTTCAGAGGAGGGAGGAGATACCCTACACCAAACTGGCCAGTGTAGTGACTTACTACTGTAATCCTAGCTACTCAGGGGGCAGAGATCACAGTTTGAGGCCAGCCCAGGCAAAAAAGTTCAACACCCCTATCTCAACCAATGGCTGGGCAGGATGGTGTTATGCAGACAGTGCGACTAGCAAGATTCCAGTCCAGGCCAGTCCAGGCAAAAACTCAAGACCCTATCACAGAAAGAACTAAAGTAAAAAGGGCTGGAGGCTTGACTCAAGTGGTAGAGCGCCTGCTTAGCAAGCACAAGGCCCTGAGTTCAACATCCAATAGTGCTGGAAGAAGGGAAGGGGAGGGAGCAGCTGCACATTCCCGTGAAGGGAATGCTGTGCTGTGTGAGTCTGTGCACATTGCTTCCAAGGCTGCAGGTGGCAAATGGGACACATGGGTATGTCTAGGCAGGAAGAGGGGGATACCTCAGTCACAAGGCTCTTAGTACAGTCCCCCCCAAAAAAAAACACAGGGTACTAAGCCAAGCGACATTAATTATGCACTTACTGTGTCTACTGTACAGTAGTGGATTGGTTTGCAGTCAAGCCCAAGTTCAAATGCTAGAACCCTCCCTGGCTTTCATCTGTGAGGTCCTGAGCAAGTCCCAGCCTGCCTAAACTTCCAAGTCTTCCTTTGTAAACAGGAAAACACGCTCATTCTAAAACTTCCAGAAAATTGAGCTGGGCACCCAGCTGGAGCCCAAACAGAGTCAACCAAGGACCGCACCTGTTCCTCCTCCTTGCTATAAACACCACTTCTGACAGTAATGAGGTACTGCACAGGGTCAAGGGTCAAGTGTAGACTTCCTGGGTCCTGGGGAGCGTCTTCTAGCTGCTTGGAAGCTTAGGAACACTTCAGGGTTGGCAGAGTAACAGTGATTCCCCTGGCCCAAGGCTAGAAATGTCTTTCTTCTGTTTTCTTTGCCATCTGATGACTTCATAGCCCTTGGAAGAAAAGCAGCGGCTTCTTGAGTTGGCATTATCAAACCACAGAAGCCTGATGAATGGTTCTAGAAGCTGATGGAAATTTAGCAGCAGGAATCCTAGACTTCGGCAGCACAGTCCGATGCAGCCCCCAAGGGTTTCTTTGATCTCTGTATCTTCTTTTTCTGGTCAAATAGATACAACATAAACTTGACCATTTTTCACAATTTTCAAGTGTACAGCTGAGTGGTGTTAAGTCACATTCATGCTGCCCTGCAGCCATCGCCACATGTAGTCCAGAGTGTTTTCATCCTCCCACCTGAACCTCTGTCCCCATTAAATGGTGCATCCCAATGCCCCTCACCAGCCCCTGCCATCACCCTTCTGCCTCCTCTCTATGAACCTGACCGCTCTGGGCACCTGTGTCCTGGAATCACACAGCATCTGTCCTTTTGTGACTGACCGATTTCACTTAGCAGGATGTCCAGCGTATTGTAATGTGGCAGTATCTCCTTCCTTTTTAAGGCTCAGCAATAAACCATTGTATGGACAGACAGCACTTTGTTCGTGCTGTTACCCACCAGTGGCCACGCGGGTTGCTTCCACCCTTTGGCTCACTGTGACTAATCCTGCTGCGAACATTAGTATATTTTTAGAACAATATGGTAAAGGTGGCTCTCTGCCTATAAGAAGTAGGTGCCTCAAACTGCAAAGTGGCTCTCTGCCACCTTTGAGAAGTAGGTGCCTCAAACTGCTATGTCTTTGTCCGTGGGATTGCTTTTAACTGATATCTTTTAGGTTGTGACAAAGGCCACACATATCATAGCCTGGTGTTACTCCCTGGAGGCCCACTGGGCACTTATGGGTACCTGAGAGTGCTTTATTCTGTGTCGGGTGTTGGTATTTACCACACACTGGGGTCCCTGCAGACGTACCTGCTGTTCACACCTCCTGCCTCTGCCCAACTGATGTGTCACTAATAGTTTCTCTCTTCTCACACCTTCCCTCCCCCTGCCCCACCTTTCCCACCCCCTCCTGTCTTCTCTTTGCTGGCTCCTGCCGCTCTCCAGTGCGACCAAGACCAGTGCATCCAGAGCACCAAATTCGTTTTGCAGGCCGCAGCCACACCCCTGCTGCAGAGCGAGCCCAGCCTCACCAGTGACGAGCTGCACCTGCCCGGGAAGCCAGGCCTGGGCACGCCATGCACCAGCCTGACACTGGGCCAGCCTACACCTCCCTCCTCCATGCCCAACCTCACCACTGAGACCACACTCTCCAATCTTCTGCCTTTGAAGGACGAGCATGGGGGCCACCAGTTCCTGACCCCGGATGAGGCGCCATCACCCCCTCGGTTGCTGGCAGGAAGCCCCCTGACACACAGCCGCACAATGCACGTGCTGGGCCTGGCCAGCCAGGACTCTCTGCACGAAGACTCTGTGCGTGGGTTGGTAAAGCTCAGCTCCGTGTGACCTGTGTGGCCAGCCCTGGGACCACAGGGCTCATCCACTGGTGGTGGGAGCAAGCAGAGGCTGTCCTGCAGCTGGAGATGACAGCCCTGGACCCCGGGCAGAGACCTCTTAGAAAGCAAATGGAAGCCAGTGTGGAGGTAAAAGGCCGGCAGACACCACATGCTCAGAGCTTGGTTTTATTTGAATTTTCTTCTCCACCCTGAGCACTTGGACAAAAAAATGAATATAGTGACGTGGCTATTTCCAGGCATTTGGAATCTATCTGCAGGGTGGGCCAGGGGAGGGAGGACCCTCAGGGAATGGGGTCGAACTTGGGATGGATAGAAGCTGCCTGGATGCTATGTCTTCTGTCTGCTGTGCTTGGGACAGACTCACTGAAGTTTTCCGACACTTGTGGCCGACTGAAATTGCACTTAATGTTATGCTACTAATATTTGAAATAGACATGCCATTCCATTTGTTAATTTAGAAAAATTCTAAAGGGAAAAAAACTGACCACGTGTGGGTTTGCATGCCACGCTACAGTCTGTGTTACAGTGGTGTTGGTATCCCAGAGGAAATGCTGCTTTCTTTGTTTTCCTTTCTTTCTTTTTTTTGTTTTATGAAGTTTTCAAGTGCTGCTTTGTTGGAAGACAGTGCGACAGACCGAACCTAGTGGATGATGCGATCCTGTGTCACTTACTCAGTTATAGGCAGATGGGTGGCAGTTGCTGCAGAGGGCTGCTGGGGTCTACCCTCTCCTGGACCGTTTAACCTTCTGTTCAGTACTTAGCCGAGGTGTTGTGTTGTGCTGCCCCGAGCAGTCCTCGCCTCCTATGTGACGAACTTCCCATGGACAGCCAATAAAAAGACATCCTCTGTTATTTTGGATCTGTGTACAGTTATCCTTAGCAACTTACACAAAAGCAAAGCCACCTGTGGGCCTGAAGAGAGTTAGCTTTTTGAAAAATCCCTAGCAAGGAATGGCTCAAGAACAACCAAAATTCGAGTGTTTTGCTGCTGGGGTACAGGATGGTTGTTGGGTGATTTCTCAGATAAGAGCCAAGCTCTCCTCCCATCCCTCCCCACCTCTGGCCTTTGAATTACCTCCTTTGCCACAGTCTTAGCAGAGTTTGCTCTACATTTAAAGATTTTCATGAAGTTAGTCTGCAGTAGAGAGAGGGAACACTCAGGAGAGGGCTGCTCTCTGCCATCCTCTCGGTTCCATGTGGCGCTTCTGTGTCACCAAGCCTCAGGTGCACAACTTGAGGTCCTGGTAAAGGTATCAAAAATGTGGAGGAGAAAGCAGCTCAAAATTTGGGCTGAGATCCTGTAGACTGCATTCTAAACTAGGCACTAATCAGAGTGCAATGAACAAAATCACCACATCATTTCATTTATCATCTAGAAGGGTCTCCAGGAAGCGAGTCACTTGGGGACAGCTGCAGGGAACTCACCAGGCTGTCTCCAGCCTTCTTCACATGCTAAATGCAGCAGCCACATTCACTTGGGCTCTTCATGGTCTTCTGCTCACAGTCATATGAAAGCAAGCTATGTCGGTCAGTGATACAAGTAGCCTAAGTGACTTGCATTGATAGGAAAAGGCTGTCTCTCTTAAGAAAGAGTTGCCATTTTATATAAAAGAAAAGCATAATTTCAAGTTTTACTTGGAATAAAACCTATTTGGGACATAAAACAATTGTGCTGAAAAACCCCACAGAATTCTTTCTCTTGATATCTTTGAGCCATCTTTATTTTCACACCACACACAAGTATAGAAAGTGGATAAGATGAGTTCCATGTAGCCATTTTTTATTTCTTAGACCCTCTACCACTTACACCTATTTGTAATTTAGGTTAAAGTTTTCTTTACACACTCATGCACACACTCACACATGTGCTGTCTGTGAACACAAAGCGGCAGCCTCGTGAGGACCTTCCACAACTTCCCGAACCATCTCTGCCTCCCACCTGCTCCCTGGGGAATCCCAGAAGAGAGCTGGGGTGATGAGAAAGGAGGGGGACTCAGCCTTACTCTGGGGTCAAGTGTGACCAGTGGTCAGTTTTGGCTCCTGGAAGACAAAAGACTGGTCTTCAGAGCCCTTTCCACATCTAACATTCTTTAATACAGAAGTTGCTGACTTCCTACAAGCTCCTTATGAAAAAATCCAAGAAGCAAGGATCATATAAGGAATGTTTGCTGCATACAGTTAGCACTCAGTCTCCTCCAGTTCTACATCTGTGGATTCAAGCAACCCTGATTAAAAATATTTGAAAAAAACACTGTGTCTGTACTGCATGTGTGTGGGCTTTTTTGGGTCGTTCTCTAAATATTACATTATAACAATTATTTACATTATATTAGGTGTTGTCAGTCATTTAGAGGTGACTTGAAGTACACAGGAAGGTGTACATAGGTTGTATATGGGATTTGAGCAGCTAAGGATTGGGTATCCATGTGGGCCCTGGAATCAGTTCCCCAAGGAAACTGAGGAATGGCTGTATTCATTATCAACTATTCCACTCCAACCCTATTCTCTGTGTGCACTTGACATTATTTATTAGAGAAGGGTTTTGGAGTTTGGGGTGAAATGAATTGAAGCCCTTCAGAGTGAAGAAGGAGACTACCTTAAATGGGCCAATCTGCTAAGAAAGTTAACATCTTAAAAACCCAAACCACAGGGCTGGGGCATGGCTCCATTGGCAAGTGCACTTGCCTAGCAAGTGCAGGGCAAAGCCCTGAGTTCAAACCCCAGTACTGCCCTCCCCAAAATCAAATCCCAAGCCACAAAGATGTCCATGGCCTTTCTCTGTGGTTTAGGAATAAGCAAGTGTGCTTCCCCATTCTGTGAGCAGGAGGGATGGTTGGGTGCGGGTCCAGTAAGTAAGGGCCCTATGTTTCCCAGTAGCTGATACGTACATTTGTTGAGTGGGTCCATCTGGCGTGGCTGAGTAGACCTGGCTATCTTTAAAGGCCTTCGGTGACAGCAATTGATTGCTAATAGAATAAAAATCCAATAAATATTTAGCTTGCTATTTAGGCTGGGACCATTATATCACACATGCACACACACACAAATGTTCATTCTGTTGCTTAAAAATTCATCTGCTTTGATTCCAGGAATGCTCCAGACACCGTAGGCCTCCCAGGCACCCGAAGGCTGAATGTAGCCTGAGTATCCTGGACTGCAGGCTGGAGGAGCAAGAGAACGGCAGCCTGGTTCTAAGAGGACACAATGACATGCCACTCTGTGCTGGGGGCAGTCAGCCTAGCATTTGTGCTGTGCCCACTTGAAAATGTGATCATTCAGCCTGGGAGAATAATGCCATATTCCCCCCACCCCAAGCTGACAAGATGCCAGGTACCTGTTCTGGTCCACGGTGGCACAGGGAAGTCTCTTCAGAACTCCCCACCCGCTGGATCTACTCAGTCTGCCCATTGTGACCAGGATAGCTGACCAGTTCACATGAGCTCACGCCCCATTTTGTACGATAGCTCAGTGGTCGGCCCTTAGCTCTTCGTGTCTGGGCCGTGGCCTCTCACCTGACTCAGCAGAAAGAAAATGAATTTGCCACAGCTGGCATCCTGAGCACAGCGCATGGCATGGGCTCTCCAGGGACAGGCTGGAACAGAGCCTGCCAGAGACTTGGAAGGGCACAGCCTACCAGGCTGCTCCTGAGGGTCCCAGGCTGCCCCACCCCTGTCCCCCGGGGCCCGTGCATACTCCTCTTCAGAGCTGAGCCCATGCCATCCTCTTCAAGCTGGGGGCCAACTGCTCCCCAAATTTGGCTTCACCATTTGGGTTCATGTGAATATTATAAAGACTCTCTCCAGGGGCGCCGTCTCCCAGTTGTCCACACCAGTGCACTGGCCGGTCCCTTTAGTTCCTGAGCAGGTAGGAAGAGCGTAAGAAGGTTAGACATTAGATATAGTTTCTCATTAGTGCGTTACAACTGTTCCAAAGCTAATCCTGAATCAAATCAATGTTTAGATTTTTCTGTGAAATACATGAGTTGTGGGAATCTACCATAGTCTTTTCCAGAAGAGATCCTTTCAAATGAATTCTTATTCTATTCCTCCTGGTCCCCTCACCTATCTGGAGGTTTGTGTATGGCACTCTATGCCGTTGTCTCATTTTTAAAAATGCCTCTTCTTATGGTTATTCCCCTAAAACACCTCTCTCTCCCTCTCTCTCTCAATCTCTCTCTCGATCTCTCTCTCCCTGTAAAAGTTGTCATTGAAATATTAAATGAGCTGAAGTGTCATTTTCTTTCAAATAGATGCCAGAGATACTCGTAGTTTTGTAAATCAGTAAATCCTGTTCTGCTGTCCGTTGTGCGTAGTCCTGACAATGCAGCCAAGGTGGGTTGTGCAAATGTGAGAAGTGAGCACATTAAGGCAGCATTAAGTAATTGGGAGATGGAAGATTAGGTTGTCTCTGGAGCAGCTGTGTTTGCAGGTGCCACAAAGCTAGATAAGTGGCTTCAAGTGGAATTATGGTTCGATCTCATAAACCCCAGGAATTAAATCCAGAATGGAAGAAAAGGCAGATGAGCCTTTTTGATTTTTTTATTTTTCTATCAATTGGTAAGTTTAAAAAAGAAACTCATTTTTATTCTGATGAAGATATGAACAAGCAACCTTCCTAATTGGCCTAGATACTTGAAGATCTGTAGTTAAAGCTGGGATCCACCTGCAGACCCAAGGAGACGTGGCTTGGGGGGTCTTATGTGAACAGCGACGACCTTAGCCCACAGGGAAGGAAAGGGAAAAGGGGGTGGTCTTGACAGTCCTTTGCCAGGACCATACGGAACTGGAGCTTCACAGCAGCCAAATATGGCACAAAAACAAAAAAGTACAGCATTTCAAACTCTTAGAGGTTTCAGAGCCCTGGGGCTCAGCGCTGCTGAGCACGGGCCCAGAGGCAATGGGCTTCACGCCATTTGTGTTCTCATCGGTGTTTGTGGAGCTGATCTTAAGCCAGACGTGACGTTAGAAAGCTGCTTCCTCACACGGTAAAACTCGTAAAGGCACCAAAGGAAACCGCAGGCTTTATGAGAGGCAGTGTCTGGGGCAAGGAGGAGCAGGGTCAACTTGCCCTCGGGTATGGGCACCGTGTGGACCCCCAGCTGGGAGGAATGTGGGTTTTCTGCTTTCATGTACTCAAGTTGGTTTCCCACAGCTTTGTCCTCAGTTGTTTGTTGTTGTTGTTTGCTTGTTTGTTTTGTTTTGTTCTTTGGTGGGACTGGGATTTGAATTCAT